GGGGGAGAGCTATTCAAAACAGACCTAAGAGGTAGGAAACAAAGCCTAATGGCAAAATAAGTAGATATGGGATCAAGGAAAAGGCCAGTCATTCCAAGGTCTTCCTCTGGTCTGGACAATGGCTGCTGATCATTATAAAACATAAAGGGAAGAAAAAGAGAAAACTGAGGGGAAAGTGGAAATATTAAGTCGTTTTAGACATGTTGGGTTTGAAGTGGTTGTCGAGCAAACTGTAGCAAGAAGTGCAGAGTGAAAGTAAAGATTTTGTAATTATAAATATTAACAGTAGCTGAAGCCAGATTAATAAAGACTTACTGAATATTTGATACATACAAGGCTAAAATACTTCATGTTTTCTTAAACGTTCCTTTAGTTCTTACAACGCACAGAGTAAATAATGTGATTCCTCTTTTGGGAAACCGAGCCCCCCCAAAATTGAGTAATTTCTCCACGATCACTAGGACTTTTAAGCCACACCGCATCATGCTATGAGGTTCGTGCATCCATTGCCCATTTTTTTTTATTTTTTAGGCGCAAGAAACATCTAGGGAGAGCTTGGAGCAAGCAGGCCCCAGGGGGCCTTTTTATTAGCATGCTTCCCAATGCCATGCACTACAAGCCCTTTCAGGAGTCACACAGATTTCAGGAGTGTCTGGCAGTCTTGCTTTCCAGAAGAAAAGAAGATAGAGAATTAAATTATCAAATGGTCACCCTCATGTTCTTCCTAAAATTTCCACTTCCCACTCATCACTCCATAGACAGCTGGACCTCTGAGGAGCTTCTCCAATAGTGTATACAAAGGGTGGGGGAGGCTCAGACACACCTGATACTGCACATCTTCCCAACAATTTTATCTGAAGATGTTGGAAGGCTGAGTTTATGTGCTAAGCCTACTAGAGCCATGAAGAAATCTGCTCAGGCTGCAGCATCAGCAGGTTGGAGTGGAGCCTCCTGCACTTGGAAAGCACTCCCCTGACACTTTGAGAAGCACAAAAGCAGTCAACCCAGAGAGCATCAGGCTTCACAGTGGAAAGTGCAATGCTCCGGTAAACTGTAAGGAAATGACTGAAATAGTCTCAGGCTGAAGAAATTCTCTAGGTAAACTATTTGCAAGAAGGAACTAGCTGACAAGATTAGAGGTGTAGTTTATTCTAAACATCACTAAACATGAACTGGATAACTTTCACTGGGCTTTAACTTGGGGGTGGGCAAGGGGTGAGGGGAAGTGGTTACCTTTCCTTCACAAAGGGTATTCTTTGAGATGTGTGTAAGTTGGAAAGACCTTTTATCCTAGTCTGTGTTAATTATCTGAGTCTATCTAAGCTCGTGGTATCCATAAAAAAGCAGGTCACAAAGATCATCAAAAACAACATTTACATAATACCTTTCGCTCACATTTCACAAATAATTACCCACTTACTCCTTAGTCAGCTGGAGGCAGGTAACATTATCCTACTCTACAGTCGTGTCATGTGCTAGTCAATCTTAAGAGCAGAATTTCAGAGGATTTTCAGTTTAATGCACCAAGGCTCTGGGGATGTTATGAAGTCCTCCCAAGGTCACATGCTGGACCACAGGGCTGGGCCTATCCCCACACAGTGCACTGGCTGTAGTCTACTACCTGAAGACACCAAAATAGAGATGGGGCAGAGTTATCTGGGGAGAGAACTGGCTAAAATCCCAATTCTGAGACCACCATATGACTTGGGGCAAATCTGAGCTCTTGGCTTCCTTACTTTTAAAACAGTAACAGTAACAAACAACTTCCAGAGCGGCTTAAGCATTCAATGAAGCTGAATGCATAAATTATTTACTTATAGTAAAGAGTTGAAAGAGTAAACTTCTGGGTTCCTGGAAAACATAAAGGTGACAGTGAAGCTACACAGGTCATGTCCTGAGCCAATTACTCTGGCTTGGACTGGCAGGGTGCTTTGTATTTCATAAGCCGTTTACTTCTGAACCAATGTCAGAAATTATTTCATTCTGCATTCTTGGGCTCAGAATTTTTATTTAACATCTTTTCAGACAATCCCAAAGAGAGGTCAAAACAACAGTGACAGAGTAATAGCCAATACCTATATAATTCCTTACAAGCCAGACAGTATTCTAAGTACTCTCAATGTATTTAATCCTCACCAAAACCCCATAAGACAGTACACAAGTAATTTAGCCAATATAACCTGAGGTTTTTTAAAACATACTAAGATCAACATCAATATTAGTTCTTTGCTATATAACTGGCCCTAAAGAAATACTTGAGGTTTTAGAATGGATTTCAAATAAGAGCTTGGAGCCTCCTTGGTGGCACAAGATGTTAAGTCTCAGCACCTCTAGCCTACACCCCAGCTCTTGTATACATAAATAAAATTTTTTTTAAATCTTAAAAAAAATAAATTAGGGCCCTCCCTGGTGGCGCAGCGGGTTAAAGCACAGCACTAAGAAGCTTAAGCCACTTCCGCATGAGTTCGATTCCCGCCTGCTCCGGAGGAGATCCACATGGCGAGGCAGACCTCTCCTGGCCCGCCCGCTGCTCCCCTCAGCAGTGTACTTCATAGATCTGCCTGTTCTGCTCCCCACTCTGTCTCTGGTGAATCCAATCACCCTCCGCATCTCTGGCCTGTACTCCAGCTCTATATGAATAAATAAATCTTTAAAATAAATAAATAAATAAATAAATAAATTAGTTTGAATGGTGTCCATTCCAGTTCAACTCAAGACAATCTTTCCATTCGCCCACTCTAAAAACATCACTTTCCCTCTGTGGATAGAACTATGTAGCATTGGACTTTTATTGAACTGCCTTATTGTGAAAATTTCAAACACATATAAAAGTTTTGAGAATAATATAATAGATGCCCAGCTTCAACAAATCACCAGCTTTGACAAACCATCATTTTTAGTAGCTTTTTTCTTATCCCTCCCCCAAGGTTCCTTGGCGAAGATTTTTTTTTTAACAGGTCCTTTCTAGGTACACACACAGTCAAGTCACCAGAAGCCTGCTTTTTGAACCTCCTCCTCACTACTCTCTGTATGAAACTGTTTAATTTTCTCTTTCTAAAATTTCTAGTCCTTTCACTCTACATCCTCAGCCTAAGTGCTCTAGCATAGGACATCATCCTACTCATCTTCTTCTCCCTGAATGGCTTTTTTTAACATGACAGAAAAAGTGTCTGTGAAGGTTCAAACATCCAAATGATAATGACAGAAATAACAAATTCACCAGAGAAGGCTAGAGTTGAAAGGAATCATTAGGCACTCCAGGACAGATCTTTTGCTTGACAGACAGGGAAACTGAGGCCTACAACTTTTAACTGTCCAAGACCCAAAAATAGAAGAAATGAAAGCAAGAATGTGTGGGGAATGAGTTTCTATTGCCCATAGTCTCCCCTTCCTCTTCCCATTCCCACTGGAGCTGTAAGGGCCAGATCATTCCTGCCAGAGCCCAGCATGAGCCGTATCAGAAACATTTTAGATCTCTAGTACAGAGTTTAACGTCTGCTTGTATTTATTCTTGAAAACAAAACCAAGTCTCAACCTTCTTCTCTCCCGTAAGCACCTGGCGGTCCCTCAAACACCACCCAAACCAGAGTTCCCTAGGGCTGCCTTCTCTTTCACCCACTCCTCAGCATCCAGCACCCCTGCCTATCGGGCCTCCTATTTTCCTCCCCCGGGTGACAATCCCTTCCCGTCCCATTTCTGAAAAGAGTCAAAACAAGTAGTATGAGAAACACAGGATGGAGAATCCGGAACGCTCGGTTTGTGTCCAGCCCGCTACACCCATTCTGTGTGAACTTGGACAGCAGCGCCCTTTTCCAGGAATCTAATGTTCCCATCTATAAAAAAGGGAGGGTTGAACTACGCCTTGTGAATCACACCTCCTCCCTGGGGTTCCCCTTTCCAGGCAGCACCGAGATGGACCTCGGCTTCTGCCAGAGTGCTCGTGGCCAGGGTTGGGGCCGCTCCACTCCCCAGCCAGTCCACGCTCCTGGACACTGCATCATCCTTACCTCCCACTCCCAGATTGACCTTGCGGGGATCCGGATCCTCCCGGAAATCAGCAGTGAGCTTAAAGACAAGGACGGGCTGAGCCTGCGGGACCTCAGCAAAGATCGACGGGCGCGCCATAGCTAGAGGGTACGAGTCGGCCGAGAGGGTACAACCAGCGCCAAGAGCCTCTCGGTCGGTCTGGCCGCGGTGGCTGGAGGAGACACTCACCTTCACCTAGCCGCCGGGGTGGGCCCGCGACCTCCAATGAGCGGGCCGCGTCCGGAGCTTGGCAACGCGGTTAACCAATCGTGAGCTTGTGACGCAAAAGGACCAGGAGGGAGGGGATGCTATTAGCCAATCCAATGAGAGAATCTTATCGGAGGCCGATTATGATACATCCAATGTAAGGAGCCCCCGGTGCGTGTGGGGGCGGGGCTAGGATTGATTGGCAGAGTGTGCTCCTATCATTGGAACTGTTACTCCCTGAGTCTCCTGGCGCTGAGGGACCGGGAGTATCTGGTGTGCGCTGGAGGCGGCCTCCTCGACCGTTCCACTGCCGGGAGAGAAATGGAGGCTAGCCAGCGGGATTCCCGGGGACCGGCCTTCCGCGAGCAGGTGTCTCTCCGCCTGTACGGCACTGGCCCAGGCTTCCAGCCAAGCTCCTGGCGTCTGCGCTCGTTCAACGCCTGGGCCTGGACGTGCAGCCCCGGAGTCCGCGCGGCGACCTTGACCATCTCGGCGGGATGTTCCCCCGAACATCCCGTGAGTGGACCGTGGACGGCCCGCCCTGCCCTGGGACTGGACCCCCCCCCCCCACCAAAAGTGAGGGAGTGGCCTGCAGCGCCTTTCTGCTGCTCGTGCATACTGTGGGATTTGTGCTCTGCTTTCCCCACCGAGAGCCTGGGTCTGAGAAGGACCTTCGGGGTCCGGGCACGCCTCGCTTTCCGCGTCTCGCTTTCCCGCTTTCCTCCCCCCACACGTTCAGCCAGACGTGGCTGCCCTCTGCCTGCTGACACCCAGACGGCCTCCTCTCTCAGGCAAGCTGTTGGGTCCCTCTGCCCCTCCTTCCTCCCCAGCCCCCTCGCCACCAATTGACCTTCAGAGAGCCACTGCAAAGGCCTCCTCCAGAAAACCATCCCTTAACTCTCACTCTGACTTAAATCTGACTCTTCCTGTGTTCTGTACCTGGTAGACAATATTAACCATTTAAGAAAATGCCCTCCTCAAGGACCTGCCTCTGAAACTAGGCTATATGGGTTTAGATTCTGGCTCTGCCACTTACGTGGGCAGGTCTAGGCAAGTTCCTTAACCTCTCTGTTCCTGAGGTGTCAAGTGGAGATACTAGTATTTTCCTCGGTGGTTGTGGGGATTATGTGAATTAATGCATAGAAAGTGGTTAATTGCATATAGTAAGCACTTCCTAAAAGTTAACTATTGCTGCCGTCCCATCCCGGCCACACTCTGTCGATGGCAGTTTTGGGGTAGCAGTCTTACCCTGTAGAAGCCTCCCTCAGCTTCTTGCACTTACACTTGCACTTGGACTTGAAATAAAAAGTAGAAGCAGACCATTCTCTTGGTGCTTCAGAAGAAAATCCGGACCTCTGTTCATTGGGTAATAAAAGAAATCTCCAAATGATCTTCCACCCAAAGGGATAAACACGTCACAAGAACTTTATGCAACACCTGCCAAGTTCTGTGTCACCTGCAACTTTTCAGAAACCGCTTCTGGTTTTAAAGGTTAACTGCACAGTGGTTTCACTAGCAGACCTTTCCTCTAAGGTTGAAAGTTCCGCCCTAGAGGTGAAATGACCATGAACTTGCAGTGCTTCCAAAAGCGGGCAGAGAGCAACTGCTGAGAAGGGTGTTCTACAGCCCAAGCGTCCCAGAGCTTCATTTAAAAATCTGATCTAGCTCCATAGTATTGGCCAACAGTATCGCGGTCACTCCTGATGTCATTCCCTGGGGGAAAAACAACCCCAGGTTACCCAAATGTTCAATTTGGTGGAGTCCAGACAAATATTTATTGACTACACAAACTGATCTGTAACCACGTCAGTGCTGGTTAGTTAAAGTGTCATAGGCAGTTTTTCTTCATGTCTTCTTAAGAGCTGTTCCAAATTTCAGAAAAAGGGCAAATTTTGTTGAGGGAGGGTCAGGGTTACAATATATTATGTGGGCTCTAAGTCTCAACATATTTTCCTTAGGAATAGGCGGAATCTTGGAGATTACTCAGTACTTCTGTCTTGAGCCCTGTGGGCTGCCCCTCTAAGCAAAATGCCAGTCTTGAAATAAACAAAATGCTTTGCAGGCCATTGCTAATTTTAACATTGACTTAGAATGGTCTCAACACTGCCTTGCTGTTCCCTCTTGAGAGGGGAACGTTGCCCAGACAAGTAGGCAGCCAGGTGAAGTAAGTGCCCAGGGAAAGGGCAGTAAGTGTCAGAAGAAGGAAGAGCCAGTATTCCTCTTGCTGCCTCACTTCGTTATGACTATTTCTTCAAGAACCCTCCCCTTGATCTCTCTTTGGACATTTTTTCTCTTTTTTTTAAAGAATTGGAAGAAGCCAAACTGGGAACCACAGAGCAACAGCTTCATCTGTTGGCTAATTTATGTAGAACTTACTCTCTTGGAAATCTGAAGCCATCAGGACTAGTAATACTGCCCCACAGCATAAGAGGCCTGGCCTGAGTAGTGGTGCGCACTGCATGGACCTCTAAGCAAATCCACCTACTTATACTTAGTCTTGAATACCCAGGACTAAATTTAGGAGCAAGTCAGGGGAGGGAGTGAGTAGTTTATCGTACTTTGCACACAAGCCAAAGTGCTCTGGAAAGGTTATATTTGGGGATGTGCTATCCCTAAGGATAGGATATCATTTAGAAGCTACTTTGTGCCCTGAATAAATGTTTCTCTAAAAACCAAAGCTGCAGGGACCTTCCTGGTGGCACAAGGAGTTAAAGCACAGCACCACGAGTCTATCCACAGTCACTGCGGCACGAGTTTGATCCCCGGCCAGGGAGCTGACCCACATGGCACAGCAGACCTCTGCTGTCTCATCTGCTGCTTCCTTCAGCAGTGTGTTTCAGTCCATCTACCTGTTCTGCTCCCCACTCTGTCTCTGGTGAATCCTCTCATCCCCCACACCTCTGGCTTGTACCCCAGTTCTTATATGCAAAAATAATTAATTTTTTTTTTTAATGCTGTAAAAGCAGTGTAAGAGTAGCAGTGTGGCTAATAGTAGACTGGTGACGCTCAGAGCCCATAGGTGGTGCTGTTCTCTCACTATGTTGAATTTTCTCATGTTAAAGAACCTAACTGTTTATCACCCTCTCCCATCAAATTAAAGTGTTTGTTTTCTGGATACCTGATGGAGTCATATCCTCTTGCTTTTCCTCCCTCACTTTTTTACTCCTTCCATTTAAGTATGGGCCAAGTGAGGGGAGCTCTCTTAGAAACCTGTGTCCAACACGGCCTGAAGTAGTTAAGAGTCTAAAGTTAATCTCTAAACCAGCACCCACATGGTGTACCAGAGATATCCACAAGACTGACAGCTATTGATGGTTTTACTTACTTGTGAAATGTAATTAGGTTCCAGGCACCATTTAAGAATCACTAGGCTGTAACGGTACTTAACGGTGCTTTGGTATAGAATCTAGCATAATGGCTAAAAATTATGACCTCTGGAACTAGATTTCCTCTCTGCACTTCAGTCTCCTCAACTGGAACATGGAAATAATAATTCTACCTCCTAGTGTTGCTTTGAGGAGTAACTGGTTTGAGGTAATCAATCTAGTCATGTATGATTTCAGTACAAATGATTTTAATTGTCCCAGACACTTAGTAACTACTCAGCGTTAACTGTAATCATCATCATCATCACAGATGTTCTTTACAATCTTTGGCTTTGAGATTTGTTTAGTTTGTTCACTGAATGGTGAGCAACATGGCATAATAATGCAGAGGCTTTATACCAACAATCAAATTCCAGTTTTTCCTCTTCCTAGTTTTGAAACTTTGAATTAATTACTTAATATGCATAAATTTAAGTATTTTTATCTGTAAATCAGGACAAGATTTTTGCTTAGTGTTGATGCCAATGCTCCTTTAACATGGTTGTAGAAATTCCTATTATTGCCATAGAGATTACCTCTCCGCCCCTGGGCACCTATAGGGTAGTGGTTAGACTAACTCCTTTTGAAGTCTGTCAGGGCCTCTTACTGGCCTATACTCGGCACTTTTTAAAAAAGGGAAAAGAAAGAAGAGAACAATTGTATTTAAATAATGAGAGCCCTCCAAAAGTCTTTGCAGAGATCTGTAAAATCAAAAGCGATTTAAAGGTTAAGAGATATTTTTTAAAAATAACTATTCATAGTTAAATGAAATGTTTAACATGTAATCTCTATATTATCTTCTTCTGAAAAGTAGAAAGTGTTTTAGAAACACTGTTCCACTACTCTCCAACCTGGGAGGTTTGCTGCCTCCAGTCAAAGCATCACGCAGAAGGAAAGGGATTGCCTTCACAAAAAGCAAATGCAGGCACCCTGAAGACAGAGCACAAGAAACCAGTAGTCCTGAAGTAAGAAGAAAACTTCTCCCTGCCCTGTTTCTCCCTAAATGCTTCACAAATACGACCTCTTCTCCCAAGAAGCTTTATTTCCCCAAGTTGGGATATCTTTTATAATTGTTGGGTCATGTCACAACCTCCTACGCTTTGATACAAGACAAATGCAGATGAAGAGAGAGATCGTGAAGGAAACACATTCACCATATTTTCCAAGGATGCATGAATTTTAACTCCTCAAGGGATAGTTTAGAACAGATGAAGGATGTCTTAGTCTACTCCAGTAACTGCAGGGCACTGGGCTTGAGGGCTTGAGGAGGTTGGTGTGGAAACTGCTGCCTTTTCAACATCCAGCATTAGAGGGCAGCACTTCTCTTTTACAAAACAACACTCCTACGCAGAACTCTTGACCACTCTGTCATGTGTTTAATTAATGCTTTAAAAAAATTAGAATATCTTTCTTACTGTTTAAATGATTACGTAGAAAATGCTAGAACCTATACTGATTGAAGTAACTGGTGAAAAATACATAAGGTTTTAGATTTCCTACTTAGGATATGGATTTGTCTAGCAAAGATAAACAGTAGCTTGACCTTGGACACTAAGACAGGGTGATTGTATGAAAAGACCTAATGTTCCTGCACTTTTTGGGTAGAAGTCAATATACTGGGCTAGC